GGCCCAGGCCGAAATATCACCGGAAATCCGGCCCGGGACGAAATTCATCTCACTGCTGTTAATAAAAAATAGTCTAGCTTCAATGAATAGTTAGCACATTTCCATAGTGCTGAGCAGGACGACGTAGTGCTGAGCATTACGTCGTCCTGCTCAGCACTACGCCTTACTGCTCAGCACCACGTCGTCTTGCTCAGCACTACGGAGTGTATCCACTAGTTATAGAAAAATGGCATCCTTTTTTAGGAATTGATGAGATGAATTTAGGCCCGGGCCGAAAAATCACCGGAAATTCGGACCGGACCGAAAGTCCAGGCCGAAAATTCCCTGGACCGAAATTCATGTAAACCGTTCCCATAGGACACTATCTTTAGCCTACTTTAAAAGCGCTACTAGCGAGTCTTCATCATCCTCTAAAGAGACAGTTAGGAAGCTGAACTACTCCATACAATTTTTTTGTGGTTATGCTACTATCACACAAGTCAGTATCATGAGAAAAATGTTCAGTAAACTTCTGTTCTATCTATGGAACAAGAAACACGTCGTGAAACAGTGCAAAAATTTCCTTCTTTGTACTTTTATTTTTGTTAGATTATTACTCGTTGTGCATGGTTCATGGCATTTCTTACATGAACTTCAAACGAAATTATTACCAAATACGATCGATTCATCATCGACTGTTAATCAACAAACAAGCCTTAGTGTTGGTTTAGTAGTTAAAAAATATTGGAATAAACTATTGAATTTATTTACTATACTTCAACAACATGAGGTTCGAGATCCGACAATGTCGGAGTGTAGACTAGAATTTTTTTAATCAACAATTTATAATCAATTATACATATTTAGACTAATCGTAAACGATCACATCATACAACATCATCAATACGATCAAAATCCAATTTAAATACTGAAAAATATTGTCAAACAATTGAAACATCATTAGGTTCATGTTCATTATGTATTCAATTTCAACAATATCTTCATAATTATAGTGAAAGTATTATAAATTTATGTCATTTATATAATTTACCATCATCTCTTGCACATTATCGATGTTCAACATCATCAATATCTGAATGTTTAATATCATTAAATGATATTAATCATTGGTTTGATTCTCAATCAAAAGATTTTGATCGTTTATCAAAACATCTTGAATATTTAAATAATACATTAAATAAAACAAAAAATGATTTAGATTTAAGTGAAAATCATTGTAAACAATTAAATGAAACTAATAATTATTTACAACAAATAATTCATGATGAAAAAGAATCAAAGAAAAAATTAGAAGAATTACATACAAATAAATTAATTGAAATAAAAAAAGACAATGATCAATGTCAATTAAATTTAAATGAACAAATTAAATTATTAACTACACAAAAAATTAATATTGAACAACAATTAAAACAAATTACTGAAGAATCTACTTCAAAAGGAGAACAAATTAAAAAATTAGGTAAACTTGTTTAGTCATATATAAGTTTATCGATGAAAAATTATTCCGATTTGGATTCTTAAATATGTAAACTTGTAGCATCTAAGTTAGAATCGTTGAAAAACTGCAGAACAAGAAAAATAATATAAAATTTTTTTCTTTTTTAAATAAGTTATGAAACTAAGTCTATATCAGAATGATCAATAACTGTTTATCTTGTACATATTACTCATTATGAATATGTTTTGTTTCTTGATGAAATTTCTTTTTTGTGTACTCAAAAAGTGAGTACGCTCTAGAATCGGTTAGTATGTCCGTCCGTCCGTTTACACGATAACTTTCGAAAGGAGAGTCAGATCATGATGAAATTTTCTACACAGTTCAGTCTTAACAATGTCTCGGTCGAGTTCGAAGATGAGAAGGATCCGTCACGAAATGGCTGAGTTATCGAAAAAATTGCCATTATTGAGAAGACCATCCCTGAGGGGGGATACAGGGATTTTTTCAAAAAAAAT